CCCTTACGAGACAATGGTCCAGTCGACTACACAGTACACACACACAGAGCAAGATAACAATAATATATTATATTATTTTACATTTATATTGAAGCAGTTTGCGRTTGGTCAAGTGTGCTAAAAGCGGCAAATATTTTTTGAACCCAGTCTTCACTCTTTTGTGTGAACAGGACGAAGATCGATCTCACCACCACTCGAAACGGTTCGATCCCCGTTGACACGCATTATCGTATCTGCACATCAAGAATATGTGTGTGTGTGTGTGATGGAGGGCGATGGTTATTCGACAAAATCTGGAGTTTCGTCGGCGCGCGGCGGTGGTGATCACAACGACAATGACCGCGATGACTGTTAAAAACGTAYATTATTCTGTATATACGACCTGATGCAAAATAATATGATGCTTATCACCGTGGTCTTTTTACAGAAAATCCGCGTCTTCGACCGACCCAAAAGGTTTTAATTTACCTCCGGGGAATGAGAAGAGGTATATATACATACAATGTATATATAATGTAAGCGCACTAGTATTATATAATTTATTTATTAGTTATATAGGTAAAGAACCGACATTGAGCATATTATTGTATTATTTTGTACCTAGCTATCATGTATAGGTATTATATGTTTGCAAACTTTCGGTATCTCGACTTTGCAGACAGTAGTCGATGCAATAATATTGTTCGTTATACGATTCTATTAGATTTCCACGCAGTTCCATCGACTTCGAGCAATTATWATAATTGTACATGTACGATGTACCTATATACTGCCAAATTGAATCACAATAATATTGCATTAGCAGCAATACAAACTGCAACGCACACTGCACAGTGTAAATAAATAAATACTATGATACAATTAAATACATATCATACGCAGTAAATATTAATTTTGTAGATGTTTGAAATAATTTAAAATGACCTGACGCGTATAATTCATATTATGTAATATTTATTTGTGTATTATAAATTATCACGGTTTAACGGATATGAAAAGTCTCTGGCTTAAACCAAATGATTTGTGTACATAATTTGGAATTAAATTGTAAACGCATATATGTATAAYATAATCATATATTCATATGCAGCTGGCAAACTGAAATGTGTAAACTGTATGGGTTGATCGATAATTTTTTTCCATTTTCGCGAACGCGTAAACGATCGTTAAATTATTTATTACAAGCAAATATTTCCCGTCCCCACATGTAAATAATAAATATTATTATGACCATTGACTCGTATAGTGAATTTGTGATCACGCATTATGACATATTCCCATGTAGATGTAGC